GAGCGGGCGACACTTCTCTTGGCCTTATCAGGACATCCATGGCGGTCACTTTTACATGTGGCACTGGGCACCTGGGCACCAGAGCACCCCCTCATCCCAGGCTGGGCACTTTCCCTACTCCCCCTGACTGCCGGGTGAGCTCACTGCACTCTCCTCTCCTGCTTCCTGCATCCCCACCCCTGAGAACCATGACCGCTTGGGGCCACCATCCCCCAAGGACAGGCCATAGGCGTCCTGTTCTCTGCCTGAGCCTCTCTGGGCCCGTGGCCCTGGGGACAGGGATTGCCCAGGTCCTGTGACTGTCATTAGTCTGGTTGACCACTCTGGTCCCAGGCTCTCCTGCCTGGGGCCCCACATGCCCAATCTAGACTTATGCCCAGTCCTGCTTTCACATGGCCTGTCGTGTCTAATGGCACAGCGGCAGGGGCCCGCAGCGTCTCACCTACTGGGCTTCGCCCTGGGGTTTCTGTGCCTTCAGTCCACTCTCTCCCCAGACCTGGCGAGGCCGGCCTCCTAACATTAGGATGCCCGCGGCCATGGCCCACTTGCTGTCAGGCAGAGCCTTGGTGCTCCAGGGAGGCTCTCTCCTTGGGACATTTTTCTCCACGCCCTTCGCCCCCCAGCCTGTTAGGTTACTTCCTCTACTGTATCTCATGGACAGTTTGATTCAAGCAGCTTATATTAAGCACTTACTGTATTCCAAACATTGGGCCAGGACCTAAGAATACAAATGGGAAGGCAAGCTGGTGAGAATGAAATTCTTTCCTCCGTATGCATCACAAACTGTCCATAAAGGGAGAAATGCCATGTGGCACTTTTTAAAACCTCATTTCTCTCACTGCTGACACCACTTCTACTGTGTGGACCATAGAAAGCACCTGATGCTGGTGTTCAGCTCTTTTAGTTCCTGTCTAATACTTTGGGCCATCTTAACTTATTTTAGACAGTTCAGGCCAAATTGAACACATGTCTAATAATACTATATGAAAAGACATTGTGGTCCAACTTCAAACCTAAAGAACCATGATGAAGACTTTAAACTAGGGAAAAAGTTGTAACCTGGCTTCTTTAAAATAATACTAATAGATCATGTTCCAGTAGAGCTCTATATTTTGCCAAGCATAGTACTCCTCACTTAACCCATGTAACCCTGAGATAGATCGGTATCTACTTTTGTAGTTGAAGAAACCAAGGCTTAACATACTTATGACTCAAGCAAGTTTTTACAGCCAAGTGAAAATGAGGTTTGAACTTGAATGGCGTTGGTTTGGGTTTTGGTTTTTTACAATAAGTTCTAGCCTCCTTTCATGGTATCATCCTAGGAGAGTTAACCCTGAGAATCCTGAAGCTGATCCATCTTGTATGGAGTAGTGCAACTTAAATCTTTGGGGGTTTTTTACAATTTGGAGAATCTAGAAGGCAGTCCAACCTGAGAAAACTCTGGCACTTATTTCTCATGGAAATAAAGCCATGGCTCAGAAAAGAACCTGTGTCTCCAAAGCTGAAACTGTAATCGCTCTGGTGTATAATCAAAATTTACCGTGATGTTTTACATTTTAATTTTATTCTGATTTATCCATTTGCTGCATTAAAAAGTTAAGAGTAGCAGAATGTTTGTAGTTTTGCTTTCACCCACAAAGGGAAAGGTTGTCCTCAAGGCGTAGCTGCAGTCTTATTAGGAATGTGCACGCAAACAAGAGCCAGCTTCTGAACTAGGGGCTGTTGTGTAAAATCAGCTGGCTCTCTTAAGATTGTTTCTGGGCTCACTGTGCTCTTCCTTAAACCCTTAGATATTTGTACAGAATGACTCAGGTGCCTGCTCTTATGTACTTTTTAAGTTTGCACACCAAATAAATCTTAAAGATATCTGCATCTTAGATATTTGGTCAAATGGGGTTTTATTCCTTGAAGAAAATAACCTGAGAGTAATTATTGACCATAGATGAGCCATAAAATCAACTTATCTCCCCAGAAGAGAACTAAAGAATTAGCTTTAAATGTTCATTAGCTTTGGCTGTTTGAATCCAGTGTATTTTCAGAGATATTTCTAGACTCTCTCTCCTCTCAGGGATTCAGAAAAGAGGCATTTGCCTGTAAATATTAACAAATTTGTGTCTTATCTAAAGTCAGAAAGGAAAAGGGTATAGAGATCATCTTCAAGTCACCACTTAGCGGCCAGGAGAAGGGGGATCCTTGTGAAGCAATTCCATTTCCTGTCCCTGAAGTGGCCCTGAACCTCAGGCAAGCTGTTACTGCACAAAAAATGACCCCCACTTGAGACCCATAAGTTAAGCAGGGGATGGGGACAGAGACCTTCAAGAACTGAGGGAACGTGCAGTGACTCTGCTGAAGATATAAGGGCAACTAGACAAGAAAATCTCAGTCAGGATTCGAGGCAGCTTATACTTTTTGGAAATATAATCATATAGGATAGAAATAGAAAATTAAAGCCATAGAAAGGGGGAGGAAGCAAATACACTCACCACAGAGGCTGCATTCATTACTGTGATAAACAAGAAATTTAGCTCTGAACTTCCTGGCAACCAGGACAAAAAGGGAAATGTCATGGGCCACCTGATTCTCATCGTAATAGACGTATGCCAGGCCTTTCCTTGGAATTCATTGCTAAAGGATCTTGTGCTGGTTCTTAGCACCGGAGGCATTTGGCAGTGGGATAAAAACAGTCTTCATTGGCAGGTCCGTGCAGTAAGTGCACAACGACCTTCATGTCTTTATGGATGAAGACAAAGGCCGAGCGTGCAGGGTGCAGAGAAGGGCAACGCACAGGGAGCTGATGTTGTCTGAGTGGTGTGTTTTCTGGTGGTGTAATGTGGTAGCAGGCTGGAACCAAAAATATTCAAAGAATTGTGTGGCCCTCAGGCTGGGTCACTGAGCAGAGAAAAGACCATTTCACGCCTAGTGTGTTGTTCTCGACTTCATCCCTGGGTTCCGTTCAGCATCCAGGCTGTGTGGAACTCCATCTGGTGCTTGGAGCAGCTTCAGGGATGGAAGCAAGGGTAGGAACTGTGCATTAGGATTGCTCCCCCATCTCACTTGCCCAGAAGCTGGCTGTGGGGTGGGTGTGCAGTGATGAAGAAACCTTATGTCTCAGCTGACCTGTAGTCTTCCCTGATCTGCGAGCACAGGAAGGGCAGAAAAAAAAAGGCCCAAGATAATACTGGCAAAAAGGACATTTCTAAGTGAAGATCCCTGTTAAGCTCCATTGAGCTATGTATATATCGACTTGTTCATGTTTGTTCCTTGCTAAAGTCTTCAGTCACAAAAGGACTGGCAGAGAAATTGCCAATTACCTCTTTCAAATATGAGCATATGCAAGCTTGAAGAGCTTTCTCACAAGGGGAATCTGAGCCTGTGAGTCGCAATTAAAACACTTTGATGGACAGGTGAAACTACGTGCCAGGTTCCCTTAGCCCACAAGGAGAGACTGTGTAACTAAAATTTAGAAACATAATCCTAGTGAAGGGGAGCTTGCACTGAAAAAGAAAGTGAAAACCTTTCCTCTCCAGTTTGCCTCTTACGTGCCTGTGTATTCATAGAGGCCAAGAGATTCTCTTCAGCCACCAACGCATAGTGCCCTCTAGTCGAACCTGCCTCGGAAGGCAAGGTAGATTTTGTGCAAATTATATGTAATGCCTTACATTTTTATTTTGTCATAAAGACAGTTTTTACCAAGTGCTGTTTGAGGCATGAGGAAGACAACGAAACAAGACGCAGTCCCTGCCCTCGAGAGGCTTACCCTCCAGCATCCAGGCACTGGGTTGCCACTGTGATGGGCGCTGCAGGTGCAGAAGTGCAGGGACATCAGGAGCACATGGGAGGGGCGCAGGACCTCAGCTCAGGGCCCACATAGGACTTCCTAGAGAAAGAAAAATCAGGACTCTGTTCACTAAACACTCAACCAAGCGGAAGGGAGAGTGAGGACAGGGACGAGGGGGTAGGAGGTCCAGGCAGAGGGAGTCATAAGAAAAAGACCAGGAAGCCAGATAGAGTTTGGCCCTTTCTAGAACTGAAAGTAGTTCGGCAAAGCCAGTCCTTGGAGGAGCAGAGAGAGGCTGACAGGTAAGCACGGGGCAGCTCATGTGGGGGGATGACATTTATGCCAAGGACCACCATGTATTTTATCGCAACGCCAAGAAGGAGCTGTCGAGGGGTTTGAAGTAGAGGAGTGATACATTGGGACTTGTGTTTTCAAAAGATCCTTCTGGTGGCAGACTTTAGCGTGGATTGGAACGTAGCAAAATGGGAGGCAGAGAAACAGGTCTAATTGCTACTATAGTCAACCAGGCAAAATAAGGGAGGAAAGAAATAGGGCAGAACAAACCATTGAAAGGCCATTTGGAAAGCAAAATATGTGGATAACAGGATAGACATGGTAATTCTTATATAAAGGACAGCAAGATATTTACCCCTGTTACATACAAATTAATTACATGTCAGTTACTTGTGAATTGTGTGCCTATATACGTTTAATTTCGTTCCATAGAGGGGACTTTGTAACCTCTAGGAGCGGCATGTGCTAGTGGGGAGGAGCTGAAGCAGTAAGCCCCTACCAGGATCAACTGCCACATCATCCGATGTGAGCTCTACACTGTCCATGCTAACGCCCAGCTGGCACAGTTAGAGTTTTTGATGCCAAGGAAGGGAACTGAAAGGGGCTTCAGTGGGCCCTGTGTCTTGAACGCTCTGTCTTCTCATGGGCCTATGAATTGCTTACAGCCCCAGAGCTCCTGTGGTGGCTCCAGCCTCCAGATCTGGATAGGGCCTCCTTTCCCCTGAGCCCCACGGGAGCCTTTCATCAGGACAACGCATAAGCTGCGAACACAGCCTCACAGTGACAGTGGCCAGGATTTGCTAATGCTCGTTAGCAATTTGAAGTTTGGAATGTGAAGCGGGCTCTAGATCAGCAGCGAAGTCCCAATCTACCCCACAATGCATTTCCTATGAATTACAGTTTAGGGTGCAATTAATAAACCAGGTTTAAGTGAACATTAAACCGACATAATCAGTGTTAACTTTTCTGAAGAAAAATAAGTCAGATTGATTCATGAGATGCATAAGAAAAATGTCCAGTTTGTCACCTTTTATTTGCTGATGGCTGTTGTCTATCCTTTGGAAGAAAGGGAGTAATATGTTATTTTTAAATTGTTAAATTTAATAATACCTTGCCAAAAATTTGAATCAAGGGCTTTTCAGTTGCGTAACCTTTTGTAGACTCATTTGAAAGTTGCATTCGTTATTTCTTCTAAGTCTCAGGGTTTTTTTTACACAGGCACTGAAGGTCCTGAGAACCGCGGAGTTTGCTCCTTTTGTTGTTTTTATTGCTGCACCAACTATTACTCCTGGTTTGAATGAGGTAAGAACTGGTCATTGTTTCCCCAAATTAGCACATCCGCCCATAGTCAGGATCCCTTTGTGTTGTACGTTAAAAACCATAGCTCCATGTCATTAAGGCGACTAAGTGACTAAGCGAAGCTGTGCTTCGATCTTGATGCTGGCTGTTAAGATTTCTGGAGTTTGAGGTCCTCTTTCAGTATTAGGAATTAGGCCATATAGAGAGGTGTGGTTCTTCTGAGAACAGAGTCATTAGGCAAATTCAAGCCTTCGTCCCCAGCACAATCACCCTGTGGCCTAATCAATAAGTCTACTTTTAAAGTTTAAAACCCTCCAGGGCAGAGGCTTTCCAGGCAGCTCCCTCCCTCCAGAGTTGCCAGCCCTCCCCCCTTTTCCTGATAAGGACCGTGCCAAAAAAGCAAAGCTGCAGCCCCAGGCCCAGCTCTGGGTCAAGGATTGCTTTGCCTGAAAACAGTTGTAAGGAATGCAGAGGTTCTCCTAGGCAGCCTCTGGAGTAGAACCCGTGCCGAATTTCTGTCTGCGCCCCTGGAGACTTCAAACCTAGGAATGAGCTCTGTCCCCTATCAGGACAACTCAAGTCAGCAGCTGCCACAGAGATGGTGGCTGTAAAAGTTGGCTGCACACTCCTCCTACCAGGCTGACCTAGAAGGCCCCCCTATTGGTGGGCAGATAAGAAGGTAGGTAAGATGTACATTGGTGCTTGGTGCTTATCTGCTGTAGGGTCATTATTAAATTAAGAAGAGACTCCTCCGCAGTTATTCGGAAGATCATTACTTCTGCAAGGTCCCGAAGCCACCAGAGGGCTCTTGGTGTCCTGTTCAGTAAACACTGGCTTAAATGCCCAAGCTTATGACAATAAAATCAGGACTTGGAACTTTTCACCCCGTGTACCCTTAAGGAAGATTAAATATTGAGATTTCTATGTTCCTTATATTTTCAGTCATTATTTTCTGGCATTTCACTGGCAAAAGGGGTATCCCTTTGTAAATTTTACTTTTTTGTCTTATTTCATGAGCAAACGTGTTTGAAGTTCCACATTGTGGTTCGCTTTTATTCTTTGGTTGCCATGTATTTTTCCTGAATTATCATCTTTGCTTTGTTTTTGTTTGCCTGTTTTCCTGCCCTTTTACTAATTTTCCATAGCTGCCAAAATGGTGCAGAAAATTGCCTGTAAGTACCAGCTAGGAGGTGATGAAATACGGCCTTGTTTATTTTCATAGACTTAGAATGTAGACATTTTGTTCCCACAAATCCTTGCTTTTGCTGTTAGAATAAAGGCATTTTGTTTTCACTGAGTTAAATCCTGCTCACATGGAAGTCAAGCCCACAGACAAGCTGTTGTCGAGGAAGAAACGGTGACAGATACTTGTAAGATCCTTAAGAGGGAACTTTATTTTTCTATGAAGAGAACTACATTAAAACTTTGATGCTCTCAGCCATCAATTTTTTTGAATGTTTTTATCAGCCCAGCTTTATGGGCGGATCATAAACTCTAGTAGTGGCTTTTGAAGCCCAGGACTTTATATTCCAATAGGACCCCCTAGCCCAGAGTGATATGGGAGGAATTGTGCCTTGTCAGGCTGGTAGGAAGCACTCCTGTCTTTGGGTGAATGCATGTTTCCTAAAGTGTTTTTTGTAAAGTAAAGCCACAGTGAAAATACTATGCTTTTTAAGTGCCAGCAGAAAGTGCGTTGATAGGACCTTAGAAAGTGACTAACTGAGGTCTTATCAATACTGTAGTAGTTAACAACCTAACACCCAAAGCATGCCATGTCCTGCTTTGAAATTCTGGTAGGAGATGACAAAACAGGTAGAATACTCTCATTTCAGAGTGTCCTGTAGAAAATATTGAGTTCCCAACTTCCCTGGTATCTGTCTGTCCCCATGATGGAATCAATCATGTGTCGCTTTTGATCCCCTTCCCAGAGAGTTGCACCCGCAGGTGCACCAGGAAAGGTCTCTTACAAATAACAGGCCTCAGAGAAGAGGAGGGATCCTAAACCATTGCTGGGTGCCATGGCTCCCAAGTCCCTGAAAGCACTGCATCTTTTAGTTTTTCCGAAATTCCGTCTCTGTCATCATAGGTCCCCATTTCCTGGTAGAATTGCTCTGTCTCTTGATTATAAATGTAACAACACTCATCGCATCATGTAATGGCCAGTACTAGTCAGCCAAGTGCTTGTTCTTTCAATCACATTTATTGAGCAGTTAGTGTGTACAAGGCACAATGCCAAATGCTAGGCACAGCAATGACAGACCACAAGACAAGTTTACGGTCTAGGTGGGGAGAGCGATACTACTCAAACAAACAGGTACTTAATTGTATCTGTGTATATTTTAAGACTCAGCCCAAGAGCTCACCTACCTAGTGTTGGGGGAGATGAGGGCAGTTAATGTGACTAACCAAGTTGCCTGGTTTCAGATTTGAACTCGTCCATTGAATGTTCAGCATAACATGATCTGACCCATGAAGATGCAGAGGCAGATTTTCTGGTGGCTCTTAAGAGACCCGTGTCTCAAAAGAACTGCAACTCTGAGGCTAAAGTTAGACTTACATGACAAACTAGGGACCCTGAATTTCCTCCTTCTATGGGCTCGCCCTGGTGAGAGTTCTCAAAATCTGTAACAAGCTGTGGGAGTTGAAGGAAAGTTCTTTGGTCTAGCAAAACTCCCTAGAGTTCAGTGGCTGCTTTTCCTTCCGAGCGTTTTCCATAAGAGACGTGCATACTTACGAACAGTTATTTGGCCATTTCCAATACAGACCAGGTTGAGGGAGTTCATCAGATGCCAGTTGCTGTTGTATCTAGGCAATGGCCTTATTTCATCCTTTGTTTGTAACGTCCAAAAAGCTTTTGCCTCTGGCATCCACTGCTGTTGAGTGAGGGCCATCATATGTCATTGAATTCCTGCAACATGTTGAACCTCGAAGCGGAAAAGAGAAAAATACAACTTAATTTGCTGTCCAGAGGCAGGGGCTTCTTGGTGCAAATGCAGCAGGGCCCTGTGGCATGGTACAAGTGAGTGCAGAGGACCAAGGGAAGGCAGAGGCAGGGCTCTGACGGCACCACCAAAGCCCTCCCACCCAACAGGAGAGTGCTGGGGATGAGAGGAATGTGGGCCTCCAGTAGAGGAATGTGGACAGAACAGCTCCGCTCTGCCAGTCAGTCCCCAACTGACCCTGGCACAGGCACAGCTAGGCCTGGTGGGGCAGTGTGTTTGCCGAAGAGTGTGTGTTTTCTCTGGTCCTTCCAGTTTGGCGTGGAGCCCTTTGTTGCATGGTGAGCGGTCTGGGTTGCAAGCAGTAGTTCTGTAACCCTGCCATCCCAGGAACGGTCGTCTCCTCTGTCATGAAGCGGCCTCGGCCCCGTGCCCAGACGTGGCACGCCAAGGTCCGGCCTTGGCTGTTTCTGACACTGGGACGAACAGAAATGTGAAAAGAGAAAGAATCCCGCTGACTTGTCTCTTCTCTCTGCTCTTCCCTTCTCCCATGCCCGCCCCTACCTCCATCCCATCGCCATTTAGGATGAATCTCTTCAGCGCCTGCAGAAGGAATCTGATATCTTACAGAGAACATACGCACACTACTTCGATCTCACAATTATCAACAATGAAATTGATGAGACAATCAGACATCTGGAGGAAGCCGTCGAGCTCGTGTGCACAGCCCCTCAGTGGGTCCCAGTCTCCTGGGTCTATTAGGCCTGTCCCCAGATATCTGATGCATAACTGGGAGCCACCTCATACATGGAAACGCCTCTTTGTTATCGGCCTTGTGTCAGCAGGTCGTGGTCCCTAGAGACTACCTAGTTGTAGTGTGACCTACATTTATAATTATTGTCATGTCCGAATAGGTAGGAGGAGAAAAACAATTACACACTAATTTAAAGAGACAGTATCTTTTTTAATCAGTTCTCCTAAACTTTAATAAAATGTACCTTCAAATGTATGTATTATTCAATCCTTTGGAATGTTATATTTTTGGAAATCATAGCTTTTTATTTCCAAGGCCCCTAAAAACTGCACAAAATAGATGCTGCTTTCTATAATCTATTTTAATAATATAAACAATGATTCTGTTACCTTGACTGGGGGTGGAAAACTACATTCTTTTTAGAGTCTGATTTTATGGATTGGAATATCTTTCTTTCCTTTATTTATTTGAAATAATCAGTCTAGTGATTACAAAACAGTCATAAATTTTTAAAGGCCTTTTTTCTCTTTCTTTTTTTTAGAATAGTATTTTTTTTAAGTCCTTTATGTAACATCCAGATAATGTGATACTGTCTCTTTGAAGCACCCTGTAAACCTTTTAGAGATTTGAAGTTGGGTCTTGACTCTTAATGCATGTGGACAGTCGCGAGCGTTTATGCTGTTGGTGTGTCTGTGTTGGACAAAACGATCTGTAATCTACAGCCAAGTACATTCCGTTCACGGGGCACACCCAGGGGAATAAGAATAAAATGCTATTATGACTAAGTTGTAAAACCTATGCACATCCCTTGCATTTCGGGCAACTTTATAAAAAAGAAAACAAACAAAACTGATTTTTATTAATAATCATATAGTGAAATGTGTTTGTAATTTTGTCTCAATTTAATTTGTTGTAAGGTGGGAGGGGGAATTGCTGGTTTCACCATTTCAGATCTGTGTTGTCTGAGAGTATTAACGTTTTAATTAAGCAAAGAAATGAGGATTTTTAAAATGTATGTAATTGTTTTAAAGCACCCATTTTAAGAGAATATACTGTGCAATGAAGAAACCAGTTTAGGCATTTGCTATAAACTGAATTATTCCAAAAGAATAATCTATAACAGCCCTGTAAATTCCTTTAAAATGATAACTAACAGGACAGTTTGACCAATTTTTTAAAATATACTTCCTTTTATGTGTTCAATATTAAATGCCTTTGGGTCCTTCATTTCATTATAGATTTGTTCAGATATACAAGCCAATAATCTTTTAGATTTTATAATTCATTAGATGCTCATTGAACCATCAAAGGCCCAGGAGCGACTATCAGTTGGCAGGAAAACAAAATACTCTGCCAGAGCACAGCTCAGACCATGCCTGGCTCCCAGAACACACGCAGTGCACCCAAAGGCCACCAATGTACTAGGGGCCATCTGTGGTTTTTCCTTCCTCTTGCTATATCCCTTGGCACAGGAGAATCATCTTTCCTTGTTGCTTTAGACACTTTAACCATCTCATCACCCTTACATGAGGTCACATCCTTCCAATACAGCGGATTCAGGCTGGAGGTTTTCCGACTCTTGCCAGAGGTCAGTGGAAGGTTTTTCATTAGAGTGTCAGGGTGTGTGAAGTGGTTCTATTAACCTGTGATCCTTGAAAAAACTACCATCATGTTTGCTTCTTGAGAGTTAGATGGCCTCATCGCTTTGTGCCTTGGCAGGATGTGCAGGGTGTGTTCTGAGCTGAAAAGCTCCTCTTGAAGGACCACACAGAGAAGACATTTGTATACTCCTTTTACAGTGTCATCCCTCCCTACCTACTCTTATTAAATGATGCTGATGTTTTTTCCTCTGATGTTGTTGTTTGTCAGTGACCGGATGAGTCTGCAGCTTACCAACAAGATGTTGAGTGAACTGCTTCTGTTGGGGCTCCATAGCAGGGTAACCAAACTATCACCATACTAGAGATATCCTGGATGGAAAGAGAAACCCTGAGAGTTGTTTAGGGCTGTGTTAGGATTGATTCAAATCTAACTGATGCCAAGACCAGGTAGTCGTTCCCATGATGGTACTGACCACAATCCAGGCTCTTCTCAGTGTGAAAGGGCCTGCTCTACCTCTTTTCCAATGAAGCACAAAAAAAGAATACAGCTAACACACAGGGAAGAGAAACCCCCTCCCTCTGGTAGAAACCCCCATGCCCCCACTTGCACTTTTAGACCAAATCTCCAGAGATGCTGACGATGCCTGGCTTAAGCCCTCCTCCACGTCGATAAATGTGCATCAAGCAGAGAAAGAGAAAAGCAATGCCGATTTAAATGTCTGTGTCCCAGAACTGAGAAGCATTGTAGTGCTAGTCCTCTCTTCCCGATGGCTTTGTGCAGGTGGCTTTATGGGTCGCTGGGGAAGCATACAGGCAGGCATCGCTCTTCCCATTGCATAAATGGCGGAATTCCTGCACTCAGAATTCATTCTATCTGACTTCTCGACGGGATCATCTGTTCCATTCCACTAATACACATCTTTTCTAAAGCAGTGTCTTTATGACCTAGCAGAAAATACTGAAATATCTGAATTCGGAGTAATTTCAGTATGTTGCTGCTGCCACTGCGTTACGATTGTCCGCTAAGCAATCACAGAAAATTGCTAAAAAGCTGCTTTATTGCTTCCATTCTATCAGCAAAACCATCTTTTTTTCCTTTTTAAATACTGGAGCAAATGCGTAGATTATTAAATATCATCACTGCTCAAATGAGCCATATGCTGAGGGTTCGCAACCCCTCCCCACAGCGAAAAGGGGGTCTTTTTAATACGCTGAATTATTTGTTAAAAAGAAGAAATGTCCTGATTTTTTAATCATCAGGCAGTAATTACTTTGCACATGTATCATATTCAATTTTAACACTAAAATGGGAAATGCCATTCAATCCATCTGGAAGTTTCCCAGTGTCAAGATAATATGGTAGCCTTTTAAAATGCAATTAAATGTATCTCCTGTCAGCTGAGATGGTTTAAAATATTTGCTCAGAGAGGAAAAGGATGACCTACTTCTCGCAATTTGCACTGAGAAGACATCTTCCGAGCCCATTCTATTGGTGTCCGAATATCTAGAGATGCTGCAAAGCCCTCGCCGCATGGAGGCAAGTGCTCCTCTTCCCGCACCCAACCCCATCTCACTGCTGGGGCCAGCCAGTCAGCTGGGACTCGGTGCTACGGTTGTCTTTTTAAAGCCTTTGATCTCATTACTGGGGGGG